TTTCTCTTTTGGATATGTCAGACATAATTCTTTGATTTCAATTGCAAGCTTTGGAATAATAATATTTAAATTTTAATAATAAAAATAAATTGTTGTTATTCAACAGGTACATCAACAATGTCATTCATCAAATCCCACATCAATTTCTTCCATATTATTATTATATAACATCAATTACTTTGTTTAATTTATAATTAATGCAATCTTCTTGTTTTCAATTTTAAATATGATATTAATATGAAATTCTTTTTAAATATTAAGTTGTCAGATGAAACTTCCTTGTGTGGTTATATCTAATATGCATGATAAATTGGTTAAACTTAACATGTCCTTTGCACCAATTAATGGTCGGGAGCAAAGATGGATGATATCATTTGTTATTATGATCATTCGCAAGTAGAAGTCGCATTTTACTATTAAATAACTTCATGAGTTATTATTAATGTTAATAAAATTGTTGAAAAAATAGATTATTTAATATTAGTTAATTTTATTTATTCAAATAAGTTTGCTATAAATATATTGGTTTACCAACTATCGAAGATCAATGTCAAATTTGGGAGGGGGGTATACTTTGTCATGAGTAAAGTGGATAAAGTGGTAAGTTTTTTCAAAAAATAAAAAAAAAATTTACTATTGATTTTTATATTATTTTTTTAGTATGTACCCTTCTCCTCAACATATTACTTTTATTAAAGGCCAAACAATTAATTCTGTTCTCTCTGAAAAACAAAACATTTCAACATTTATTGAAATTTCCGTTACTGCAACAATAGAAGAAGTATTTGATGTATTACTTGCTGAAAATATTATAAGTGTATCTGTTTATAGACTTTGGAGAGGCCATAAACAACCAATTGCGATTGTTAATGTTTTTGATTTAGTTTCTTTTGTTTGTTTGCAGGTAAGAATACAAATACATACTTATATATATATACATATATATATGCTATTATTTATTTTATAATTCTTTTATTTTTAAAGCCAATTTTTGACAATGATGAAGTTTTAAGTAATGACAATAATTCTTACTTTTTACAAAAACCAATTGGTGAACTCATTGGATTAACGCCAGAGAGCACAAATCTGACTGTATGCCATACAGAAGATCCACTTGTTAATCTATTAGATTTGTTTACACGTAAACAAATTCATCGTGTTTTGGTGTCCACTCAACATCTAATCGAAGACCCAGATATTGGCAAAGTCATTAATGAGGAAGAGGTGCAACCATGTTTTGTATCTCAAACTGATGTAATAAGATTCCTATTCAATCATAATCATCAATTAGGCAAGATTTTAGATACCCCTGCGTCAAACATTGCTAATAAAGCAACTAAATTATTTTCACCTTCAACTTCAACAACAACAATTACTGCAACTTCAACAACACTAGAAACGCATAATCAAGAATTATTATTGGAACTCTCATCCATCACGATTCATGATCAAGCTTTAACAGCTTTTAAAAAAATGCATCAATATGGAGTCGAGGCAGTTGCAATTGTTAATGATGGTGGTAGCCTGGTTGGAGAAATATCAGCAGCTGATTTACGTGGTTTAAATAAAGATCGTTTGAGTGATTTAAAAAAACCTGTCATAATGTTCCTTAAATCAACCAAAGGTGCATTAATTAAACCATTAATTTGTCATCAGAAATTTACTTTGAGCCAAGTTATGGCAAGTATTGTGCATAATAAGGCTCATCGAGCTTGGGTTGTAGATGAGAATGATATACCTATTGGTGTAATTACTCTTACTGATATCCTTAGTATGTTTTTACCTGATGCATCTATTAATGATTTATGATTACTATTGTATGTCTTAATTTTATTATATTATGTAAAATTTATGTGTGTATATATTTATAGAAAAATATTTTTATTATTTATTACATATATATTTTATTCCATTATATTTAAGAAATAAAATAAAAAAATTAATTTTAAAATTTGCAATTACAATTCCCAAAAATTTAATTAGATTATATTGTATTGTATATGAATAAGCAATTATTTATATATTCACACATTCATTTCATTCATCCACCTAGTAATCCCTATCAAAATTGCTAGAAGAATCAAAAGCTTCTTCAACATAAGGATCAACTTTTCTTTTCCATTTATCAAGATTTTCATCAACAGCATCTTGGTATTCCAAAAGAAATGGTCTAATTCCTCTAGCATAAACGATCTTGGCACCATTAAAAGGTGGAAGGGAAAGCCTTTAAATATATAAAACATAAAAATATATTAATATTATTTATGTGAGTATATATAAAAACAGGCTAATATTAATTATATGTTACATTATTAATATATTTAATGAATGATTTAATCTATTTACCATAAAAGAAAGATCGTTTTGATCAAAAAGTAGAAAGGGACCCAATAAAGAACAATATTGGAAAAGAATTCAACTATATTAAAAAATCCAAATACAGTCCTAAATAAATAAATTGATTAATTCATTAAGTCATAAATTTATATGCATATATATTCAAATATTTCATGCTTGCGTGTAAATATTTATACCAATATGTTAACCATTGAGTATCATCAGTTTTTTTAGCACTTTCAATGGCTTTGAAAGAAGCATAAGCTTATATATATATATATATAGATAAATTAATTATTAATTCAAATAAATGTCATAATAGTAGTAATAGTAATGATAATAACAACAATAATAGTATGTCTACCTGGATATAGCCAACCAATAATGTTAGAAAACAACGATCCCCAGACATTGAAAAAGATCAAGACAAAAACAATACCAACAACACTAGCTGCAAGATAAGTTTTTGGAATTCCAGTTTGTCGTTCCAAGTTAATTATCTGTGGGTATTTTGATAATTCTCTATCAACTCGAGTATTATAATATTGGAATTTGGTTTGAAGCATATCCATTTTTTTATATCTTTTTCGTTACTTGGATAATTAATTTTTTATGTACGTACAACATGTGAAAATATAAAATTTCAAATTCGTGTAACAAATCGAGGTTTTAAAAATATCTCGTTCGACCTTTTAATAACAAACTTGAACTTCATTATTAAGATAACAAGAAACTACACCATTTAAGCTTTCTAGCCATATTTTTATATCTGAAAACGCTTCCTATATAAAGCTATGGCTATTTAAAAGTAGTGGTGTTTTTTCACTTCAAAGCTGTGATAGGGATTGGAACTGGGCGGAAGAAAGATAAATTAGCCTATCCATAATATTTGTGGTTTTCTATAATGCTAGTTTATGATCCCTCTTGAACATATGATGTTTAAATATCTATTATAACCAGTGTGTGAAATTTAAATTTAGTTGTGCATGTTTTTTGTTATTAAAATTAAATGTATCATTATCTATTGAATTATTATTTGGGAGAGTGTGTTAATTGATGATAACAATAGAAATTTATGATTATGTGGATCAGAATGAATTGGCTATCCCTAACGAATTAGTTTTATTAACGAATAATTTGGTTTAGTGACTTAATAGTTAAGAAAACGTTTTATTTAGTCGAAACTAATTTATTAACTTATTTCTAAGTTAATTTTTATTATAAAACTTTTTTTACAAAGTTATTACAAAGTTATTTTACAAGTATGTCGAATTTGAGCTTCTTATATACAATTAAATTAATTAGTAACAACTTCATTGCAATCTAGCATTCTAACCGCAATATCGCACTTTAATTGCTACGTAACATTCTAACCGCGACGCTAATTTCTAAATAAAGTTGACTAATTTCGAACATAATACATAGATATAAAAAATAGAAAAAAAGACTTGATTCGGAATTAGGGTATTTCGACAACAAATCAACATTAAATCCTAATTCTGGTAACAATATCTATTTTGCTGGTTTTTATATTGCACTATCTCCCCGACTGAATTCCATACACTGATTACAACTTATAGTTCTTAATAATCTACTTGACAAATTTAATTATTTTGAGTAATTCAAAAATTGATTTATCTGGTTTATTAAAATATTATTCCCAATTAATAAGTGTGAAAATTTGATGTACAGTTAACAAATTTATTATAAAAATTATAAATAATAATTTAATCATAAATATTGTTGTAATCATTTTGGCAATGGCACTATCAATTTTTCATCTCTTTTATTTTTTGATTATTTCACAATTAAGAGATTGTCAAGTTCTTTTTCATGTAAGATCAATTGTTTTTTTATCAATTGTTTCTTATGTATAATCTGTGTCCCAAATTTATATCAGCATATTATTCTTGATAATAGATAATTACTTAAATGAAAGAGTTGATGTTTATCAATGGTGGAAGAACAAACAGAACCCTTTTCCCATTTTTAGTAGAATTACACATGAATACTTATCAATTCCTGCCACCTCTGTTCCATGTGAGTGTTTTTTTTCTGATGCAAGAAATTTGGTTACTTCTAAAAGAACATGTTTAGGGCATGAAGTAATGAAACAGTTATCATTTGTAAAAAGAAATAATTTATATTGCAAAGTTTGGGACAATATATAAAAATTATTTTATCATTTGATTATGTAAATATTAAACCCCCATTCAAAAGATCCATAAACCACCGGATGACCCATGGGTTTGCCTTGATGGGTGATCTGGGTAAGGTTTTTGGATGGGTCCAATCTCTAAGCTGTGATTATCACTTTAAAAGACTTGATAGTAACAGACAAGGTGTAGAATACTTTAAGCTTTCATATGGTTATTACTTTATAGGGGGTGTTGGTTAATAAGTTTCAGATATCTTTCAGAGACTTTTAATATTATTCATGTAAAGACCATTCACTGAATCTTTTTTTACAATTAACAAAAAAATGAATAAATTGAATGGACCAAGTATATCTATTATTTAAAATAATAAATTCTATAGGTATATTATTTATTTGATGAATTAGAAATAGAAAAAAATTATTTGAACTAATGGAAATATTAAAAAGTTAAATATTTTTGTTTCTTTTGTATTTATTATACCAATGACCTCTAATTTGTTTTTAGTCCAAGAATTTGAATAATTTTTTAATTCCATCAATAATTCTTCAACAAAACTTGCAAGAAAAAATTCTGTATGTTGATCTAGCTTTTTAAGGATTTCTTTTTCTTCATCTGAAAGCACCCTTCTTCAAATTACAATTGGATCTGGTAAAATTAAATTTGAGGTAGAAAGTAAAATAAATATGAAATAATATTGTTTTTGTGTTTAGGGTACACGTGATCTGTTGACGATCTATCCAACAGTTTTTGCGACACACGTCTCACGATCAAATGCTTGTTCAAGGGTTCAATAAATATATATTGATAATAATAAACATTATAAAAATCAATAATAAATGAATGAATGAAAACAAAAGAGTACAGTCAAGATCTCTATCCACAGATGAAGTATCAATAAGACGAACAGTTATTCTAGGCGAATTAATTATTACAACAGATGAATATTTATTATTATTATCATCAGTGTTGAAATTTCGTTGTGTAATCAGTACAAATTTAGAAACTATCTCCAAAAATTAAAAAGTTGATTGGTGTGTAATGTTACACCCCCGCATTCCCCGCACCGAATTTTCAACACTGATTATCATTATTTGTTTTAAAGAACTCTTTTTTTGAAATAAATTTATCGATTGCGAATTAATGTGGCAGTTACATATGAGTTTTCTTCGCGAGTTACAGCCAAAATTCGATTTATGAGATGATTTACAATTATAATTACTGAATTAGTATTAGCATTATTACTATTCATGTTATTCATTGAAACGAGATAATGATCTACAGGATCAACAGGAAAATTTTAGTATAATTTAAATATAATAAATAATACTTAATACAATACTTGATATAATTTACAAAAAATTAAATGCTAATAATAGTCAATTATTTACTGAAAAAACTAGTAACGTTTGTTTGTATTGAATTTTGAATACTATATGATTTTATTGTTTTTTTTTTTCAATGATTTTAAAGCTTTTAATTCATTTTGTTCAAGAAAATTAAAAGCAGTTTCAAAAGCTTTTTCACATTTTTGGAAGAAGAAAATAGTTGTTGAGACATTTTAATTTCGTAGAATTTAGAGATTTATTAATTTAAAGAAATCAAAGAAAATGTTGATTATGTAGAATTATTAGAAGATATTTATTTATTATCAATTTAGAAATATGGAAAATTTGATTAATATTATTATTTAGTAATGTGTGTTTAATTATTTGTGTAAAATCATTATTTAGAAATATGAAAAATTTGATTAATATTATTATTTAGTAATGTGTGTTTAATTATTTGTGTAAAATCATTATTTAGAAATATGGAAAATTTTGATTAATATTATTATTTAGTAATAGTAATGTGAGAATTTATTCATGAGAATTATGCAATTTGTTTATATTATTATTTAGCAATGAATTAATCTTAATCCGTTGTAACGCGATTAGTACTTATTACTAAAATCCTAGCAAAAAATTCGTTGTCCGTTGAAACGCGATTTAAATATAAAACAAGAATTTTTTATATTAATTAATATTAATAGAATCAAGGGGTAAAACCAAAAATCCGTTGAAACAAGGGTTCGACTGTATTATTGTTTATTGTAATGTTTTAGTATGTGGTGATGAATCTACAGTTAATTATATTACACATTTATATGATGACCTCAAAAAGAACAAAACTTAATCCACTTTTATTTGAAAAGAATAAATTTTAAATTTTTTGTTAACAATGAATATTCACTGGATAATCAATGAATAATCATTCTCACTGATTAATTAATTTAATGATTTAATGAATATTTGGATATTTTAATTATTCACCAAATTATTATCCGAAAATTAAGCTTAATTGAATGAATATTCAGTGGTTACAATTTGCTTTTGGGAATAAAAAAAAGGATTTCTTCAAGAATAATTTCAACAAACATATAAAGGGGTTCTTAAAATAGTATATAAGATATGCTTTTTTTGGATCCATAGTGTGTGTCACCACCAAATAATTGGTCTTCTTTATTCTAGTTAAAAGCTATCAAGCTACATTGGAATTTTTTAAATAAGTTCAATGCAACAAGGATCATGTCAGTTAAAGTTTGAAAAATGACTGCCCCCTAGTAAACTAATAAGTTCACCATGAAACCACCTTTCACTGTTACCTACTAAATCAGGCCCTGTAAAGGTATTAAGATTTAACACCTGACATTCAAATGTAGATAAAAGCAAATGGTTATTACCAATTATAATAATCTAAAAGGAAATCACATGATGCAGTTGCATATTCTATACCCTCTGAACCATTTGATAAATTGATTGTATCTCTATTTAGACTATAGAGGAGTTGTTAGTAGGATTTTTATTGTATTTCTTTTTTAGTAATATTTAAAGAGATTTCTAATTTAATCATTTCTTCACATCTGGGTTGTGAAGTTCAGAAAGAGAAGGATAGTTGTGTTTGCCCTTCCAAATGCGCTCCATGATTTTTAAATATATATTGTTCATAATAATAGGTGTAATTTGGGTAGTGATTTTGAGTTTGTGGTATAAAAAATTATAAGAATAATATTAATCTATCATAAATATTCAAATTTCTATATTAAAATATCGTCGATCCTTTCCATTTATCGCGAATGGCGAATTAATGTACCAAATCAAGCTTCAGATTAACTGCAATTAATATTAAGATTAGGTGGGAATACCTTGCAGTATTTATTATTATCAAAATATTATAATTCTAGCAAGAACAAGTTGTATTTTATTATTTTCGCAAACTATTCCTAAATCAAAGGTTTATCAATTACAGAGGGAATATGGTTATTTTTATAGAAATCTATAGTTTGTTTTGCCATAGTTGCAATTTTTTCTGGCACAAAGCCGTATTTTTTGAAAACTTCTTTATAAGGCCCAGAAGAGCCAAATGATTTCATACCAAAATTTACATGAGCATATTTGGTCCAACCAAATGTAGAAAGTGCCTCAACACTTAATATAGGAATACCATCAGGTAGAACTGACCATTGGTATTCCTTAGTTTGTTCTTCAAATAATTCAAACGATGGTAAAGATACAATACGAGTATTGATTTGATCTTTTTCTAGTAATTTGGCTGTGTCAACGATAAGTGATACTTCTGATCCCGTTGCAACTAAAGTGATTTGCGCATTGTCACATTCTTTCAAGACATATCCGCCTTTAAGAACTTTTTCAACTGAAGTATCTTCCAATTGAGGAATACTGTGACGAGAAAGAACTAGTACTGATGGACAATTTGATCTTTGTATTGCAGCTAAATAAGCACCTGAAACTTCATTACCATCTGCAGGGCGTATTATTAATATATTTGGTAATGCACGAAGGCTAGCCAAAGTTTCAATTGGTTGGTGAGTAGGACCATCCTCACCTAATCATCATAATAATAATGATAAAATCATTTCTTTATAATTAAAAAGAAAATAACTATAACAATATTTACTCACCTAAACCAATAGAATCATGAGTCACGATATAAAGTACACGGAAGGAGGAAAGAGCAGATAATCTTACAGAACCCAAACCATAACTAATGAAATTCAAAAATGTCCCGCCAAATGGAATTATACCGCCATATGCAGTCAAACCATTCATAGCACCACTCATAGCATGCTCACGAACTCCGTATCTAATATATCGACCTGCATAATTCCCCAAGCCACTATCATCAGGTTGAAAATCCACAGCTGTTTTCCAACGTGTCAAATTAGATTCAGTCAAATCTGCTGATCCACCAATTAATTCTGGTAAAACATCAGCAATTTTATCCAAGACTTTTTCTGACAATTTTCTAGTAGCTAGGTCAGGATCAGATGGTTTATATCTAGGTAAATTGTCTGCCCAACCCTCTGGTAATTTACCTGAAAATCTTCTTTTGATTTCATTTCCCTACATTTTACAAAATAT